ATAGTTATAATTTCAAGTAAAATATATTCAAAAATTTTATGAAGTTTTTTCAATTCTTAGAAAGATAAATGATTTACTTGCTATGCAAGATTAGTAAATTGGACATTTATGGATTTGATAATCCTGCTTATTGACTGTAGTCATATATGCTTATTGACTGTAGTCATATATGTACTTGGAAAAATCAATAAACTCAGAGATACATGATTTTTGTCAATCTGGTATGCAGAAATGAATACGATTAGCCAGAAAGTGAGCCTTGCCAGCTGTCCAGGCTGCCCATTTCAGAGCAGCTTTGTTTTTCTTGATTCATTCATTTTTTTCCTGTACTTGCTAGGAAGTGATGAACACTTCTCTGTATAGTGTTATAGTTTGAAAGAAAGTAAACTAAAGAGTTATTAAAAGTGAACAGTATAAAGAATCTAGAAGGCAGGTTTTTGATACATTACAAAATGGGATCTTACCTTGAGCCCAAGAGTTCAAGGTTGCAGTGAGCTATGATCACACCACTGTACTTCCAGCCTGGGTGACAGCAAGACTCTTACATATGCATGAATGAGATCTTTCACATGAAGAGAGTTTATACTAACACGGGAAATTAGGCAATAATATATGCAGGTGTGAACATAAATATGTTTTTCTCCTTTACAAATATCAGTCATCTATATTAATTTATTCAAGGAAAATGTGCCGATAGGTAGGCTGCTATTAATTTCTAGTGAAGGATCTGACGAGCTTCAAATCATGTAACTTTGGAATAAATAGATCAAAAGATCTTTTATCTTTTAGCAGTATTAGGATAATTCTCTAAATATAGGCAAAGAACTGAAAAGCTCCATAGAAGGTGACTAACTATAAATGTATTATACATGACTGGGAAAAAATGGCAAGCAAGACTTCAGAGCTGAGCTATCTTGGTATTTTTATCCAGTGTGTGGGGTGTTACATATGCATCACAGCTATAATAGTGCTATCACATGGATCATCTGAAAAACAAGAGAGAGATGTTTTAAAGGCTTCTGTGCTTGATTTCTTAGTCAGATGCTGTGTTACTTAGCATTCAGATCAGAATCCAGATATTAAAAGGTGAATTATTTTAAATAGCTGAGTTTTAATAGAAAAGTAATTTATTTGAAATTATTTCAGGAAATGGAAGATAAAGTGACCAGTCCGGAGAAAGCTGAAGAAGCAAAATTAAAAGCAAGATATCCTCATCTGGGACAAAAGCCTGGAGGTTCAGATTTCTTAAGGAAACGATTGCAAAAAGGGGTAAATTCTCTTTTATAATCTTCAAATGCCTAATCTCTATGAACTCAAGTGTGCTAATAACAAAGATTGTGAGTGTATTTGTAGTTCTGTGCCTTATCGGGGGTTTGTGTGTGTGATTTTTTTCCAGTATTTTACAGTTTTATTCTGTAAATATGCGTGATAAGAATATAACTCTTTAACATTTTTAAGTATAAACTATTTGAAGCATGTAGAACAGCACAGATAATAGTATAACAGTACCCGATATCCAGATTTTAATGTTAACATTTTCCCTTGTTTACTTCAGTTTTATCTTAGTGAGAAAGAAAATGTTGCAGGGCGGCGCCTGTGGCTCAAAGGAGTAGGGTGCCAGCCCCATATACTGGAGGTGGTGGGTTCAAATCCAGCCCCAGCCAAAAATGAAAAAAAAAATGTTGCAGATACAGGTTAAGCCTACCCTGTGTATATATATAACCCCTTCCTTCTATCTTTCCAAAAGCAACCACTGTCCAGAAGGTTGTATTCTTAAGTACAAATTTTTATGTATATTGAAGGTTATTCTCACACATTAAAAGATCTAAAATATATTTTATTTGGATTAGATGAAATGATTGCTTATAAAACCACAGCTTACAATCTCCTTTATGTAATGTTTCACAGATGGCTCTGATACAGTTTATACATTATAGTTTTTTTGTTGTTGTTGGGGATTCATTGAGGGTACAATGAATTGCATTTGTTAGATAAAGTCCCTCTTATAATTTGTGACTCATCCCCTAGAGGGATGTGATACACCATGACCCACCACTCTCCTACATAGTGCAAATTACTGAAAACGTTTTTTTCAAAATCATTATTTCCCAATCATGAAATATGAATTGAAATAATGCTGCCTGTTCCTTTTTTTCCTCCTAATCCCTTCCAGAATAATTTATGTAAAAAATTAGATCCATCTTTAGCTTAAGCATAAATTATTTGCCATAAAGAGAAGGTTGAAATATAATTTATGGAAGAGAATTATTTATTGACTGTGAGGTGCCAAATCATGTTTCTTCTTAAATACTTAAATATGCTGATTCCTGCTGTTTGCTTGCAAAAATCTGTTGCTATATGTGTGTGTATTTTAGCTATAGTTGCATATGGAATGTTATCCCAAATGAATCAAATTCCAAAGAATTTCTTAACAAATTTTAAAGTGGCAAAAATAGAATATATGTTTATTCTTAAACATGAAAAAATAACATCCAGGCTGGGTCTAGTGGCTCATGCCTGTAATCCTAGCACTCTGGGAGGCTGAGGCCGGTGGATTGCCTGAGCTCACAAGTTTGAGACCAGCCTGAGCAAGAGCGAGACCCCATCTCTACTGGAGGGGAAAAAAAAATAGAAAAACTGAGGTAAGAGGATCACTTGAGCCTAAGAGTTGGAGGTTACTGTGAGTTGTAATTCCATGGTACTCTACCCAGGGCGACAGTTTGAGACACTGTCTCAAAAAGAAAAAATAACATTCACAGCTTTGAAATAATAGAGTGAGGAGGACAAATTATACCAAATGTATAAATATAAAACCCCCTGTATCATGAAACATAATCAAGTAGGGAAACTATTATAAATGGTAGTTACTATCTATAGTACATAAAAGGGAACTTTAAAATAGAAAAAACATTAAGGTATCCCTGGATAAAATAGAGGAAATGTAATTATGAAACAGACAGATGATAAGTGAAATGTAAATTATATTATAGTACAAATACAAATAAATTAAAAAATATTTAAAGTAATACCTGTAAGTAAGGTTGAAGTTGGGTGAAACTAATAAGCTCTTTGTTGTATTTAAAACCTTAAAATTAATACTGCCGTTTTGGAAAGAGGTATGGATCAAGGTTTATAAAAATGTTTATGTCCTTTGAATGAATAAACTCTTATAAATTAATCTAAAGTGTTTAATGCAATATAAGTAAAAAGAATCCTTGAGTTTGAAGATACTCCTTGTTGCTTTAACTATGAATAGAAGGGTGGCACCTGTGGCTCAAAGGCAGGGCGTCAGCCCCATATGCCGGAAGTGGTGGGTTCAAACCCAGGCCTGGCCAAAAACTGCACAAAATAAATAAATAAATAAATAAATAACTATGAATAGAACTATTACCATTTTCCAAAGCAGGAAAATGGTTAAATTATAGTAAGTCAACAAAATGGAATATTAAGATGGTTATTATAAAATATAATTACTAAGATGATAACACAGGATGAATAGAAAAGTGTAATGAGAACTGTGTTCATTATACATCTAGCTATGTGGGATGTACACATACCAAGTCTCATTATAAAACAAACCCATCAGGCGTGTTTCTAGTTATGAAAATATTACATAATCTTCATTATTATATAATCTTTGACTATTTATTTGGATTTAGGATTAGATTGATTACATGTTTAGGAAATTTTTTTTGGCTAATCTCTAGCATAATTTAGGCTAATAAGCTTTCTTTCCACATTGAGGCTGTTCTAATTTTCTTTTGGCTTTCAACTATTTATGACTTTTTAAGTATCTTCAAGTCTAAATTTATACAGTAATATTTTTAAGTTGGTGTTACAGATATAAATAATTGAGAATGAGCTCGGTGCCCATGGCACAGTGGTTAAAGCACCAGCCACATACACCGAGGCTGGTGGGTTTGAATCCGGCCCAGGCCAGTTAAACAATGACAACTGTAGGGCGTTGTGGCAGGTGCCTGTAGTCTCAGCTACTTGGGAGGCTGAGGTAAGAGAATTGCTTAAGCCCAAGAGTTTGAGGTTGCTGTGATGCCAGGGCATTCTACTGAGGGCAACATAGTGAGACTCTGTCTCCAATACATAAAGAAAGAATGAAGAACATACCAATTGAAATAAGAATTGATTATATAGAATTTTTAAAAATTTTTTGAGATAGAGCCTTACTTTGTTGTCCTTGGTAAAGTGCTGTGGCGTCACAGCTTATAGCAGCCTCAGACTCTTGGGTTTAATGCAATTCTCTTGCCTCAGCCTCCCAAGCTGGGACTATAGGCCCTGCGACAACATCTGGCTACTTTAGAGATGAGGTCTTGCTCTGGCTCAGGCTGGTGAGAAGTGAGCTTTTGAGGGATTATATGTAGTACCAGAATATCAATGAATAAGTTGTTTAATATTAGGGAAGTGAGGGTTTTTTGTTTTAAAGTCTGGCTCAGTGACTTCTGGGTCTTAGTTTTTCTCTGTTACTAGCTAGCAAGCTTGGCAAGTAACCTTAACATCTCTAAACAGTTTCTTCTTAATTTGAGAGGGTTGGATTTGACATCATTATTCTTTTAGGTCCCTTTCTCTGTTATTGCAAGGTTAATATTAGGCTTTCAGCAGTGAATACGTAGACCGTTAGAGCTGGGAGGTTGTATCAAGAAGGAGTCTAACCTATGTATTTTCATATTTGAGGAGTCTGAAGAAATATTAGGAGCCAATTTTAAGAAACATGACTTTAAAGTTAAACATTGTCACTTTAGGTGATGCCTTAGGGTCATAGCTCACTGCAGCTTCAAAATCATACTGGTTTCAGATGATCCTCCTGAGCCTTCTGAGTAGCTCCAACCACCATACCCAGATACTTTATTTTTAGAGAGATAGGGTCTTACTGTGTTGCCCAGGTTGGTTTTGAACTCCTGGCTTCAGGCAGTCCTCTTACCTTGGTCTCCGAAAGAGCTGTGATTATAGAGGTGAGCTACCACACCTGGCCAGAAGCAGTTCTTTGATACAGTGCTTCAAAAATTTTGAGTTTCTTTCTCTCTGCTCATTTAAAAACGTGTAGAAGTGAAGCTACAGCAAGGTTGAGAAGAGTCTGTTCCAAGTTTTCTTATTCCTAACCTCTATGGTACGTGTACAGTGACACATGAAAAGCAATTTCTAACTTAGACCCTTTGGCCATAGGCCAGGTCTGGCTTATCAAAGAATAGTCCCCCAAAGGAGGCAGCTGAGAGATCTTTTTTTCTCTGGGCCACTCAACAATCTTTCACTAAGCTGTGAGTTCCCAGCTATTTATTTTTATCATAGGAGGTATCTTTTGAAGTCTCTAAGAGAATATTTTATATTTTTCCCCTTTACCTTTGCCTAGGCTCCCATTTCATACTTGGTTTTTGTCTTTTTGGCTACTCCAGACTAAGGTTAACTTAATCCCCCTGCTTTAGATTTATAGCACCTTGTCTACTTGAGATAGTAGTAGAGTGGTGGCTTTACTTGACTGTTGTCCATCTTTGTATCTGTGTCCAGCTCTCACACAGTGCCTCATGTAGCAGCCACTGAATAAAGGTGGGCTCAGCGTGATGGGTATGAGAACCCAGGCATACTCATCTATTTTCAACTGTAGAACTCATAATTTATATTTTAATGATTAGGCCAACTGGAAAGAGCAATAATTGTACTTACTCAGTGTCTTAAGTGATAGTAGTTTCTACTGAAATTCACAAGTATTTTTCTTCCATTACTCTAACATTTATATTTTTACATTTTTATTTTAGTGAACGACTGTAGTTTAAATAAATATGATTTAAATTCTTGGAGAAAAGCTTGCCCTAGGTGATAGTACCAGAAACTATAAATAATAGTTTTAATAACTGTAAGGTTGATTGGAGTTGAGTGGCATATCCTAAATGTAAGTCAATAAATTATGTGTTTTATTTATAAGTTTATTTAAGAAGAGTTTGACTTGGTGGTTCTGTTAGTAAATCAAAGGTTTTTATTTTACTTTGAGTCCAGGACCTTTTATTTCCAAATAGCTGATATCAGTCTTGACAGTTCTGTATTTTGTACTAGAATGGTTCAAGAAAGCCTGAAGAGGAGGGCCTTATTTGACTTCAGTTGACTTATGCAAGACCTCTCTATAGAGACACAGCTGTTTCCTTTAATTAATATTTCTGTTTACATTTTTTTGGGAGGGGGCAGAATCTCGCTCTGTTAGCCTGGGTAGAATGCAGTGGTGTCATCATAGCTCACAGTACCCTCCAACTCCTGTGATACTCCTGCCTCAGCCTCCTGGGTAGCTCAGAATATTGGCACACACCATTGTCCCTGGCTAATTTTTCTATTTTTAGTAGAGACAGGGTCTTAGCTCAAGCAGTCCTCCTGCCTTAGCCTCCCAGAGTATCCTATTTAAATTTTTTAGACCAACTTAACGCTGACAGTAGAACAGTGGTTCTCGACCTTCCTAATACCACAGCCCTTTAATACAGTTCCTGTGGGACCCACAGGTTGAGAACTGCTGGTATTAGAGTCACATCTCTATGTTAAATCAGTGTAGTTGCATATGAAAGCTTTTCAACTATAATCTGAATTCTTTCTTTTTTCTCATTTGTAGCAAAAATATTTTGATTCTGGAGATTACAACATGGCAAAAGCAAAAATGAAGAACAAGCAACTTCCTGCTGCAGCCCCAGATAAGACGGAGGTCACTGGTGACCACATTCCCACTCCACAGGACCTTCCTCAACGGAAACCATCCCTTGTTGCTAGCAAACTGGCTGGCTGATTAAAAGAGCTGAACTGCATGAATCCTCTAATTCCCATTATTTCTCCTTAATATGTTACTTATCCTCTTTTTATTTCCTTTCACTAAGTCATTTGAGACTGAAAGCTTTGCAGGTAGCAGTAGTGTGTGCTGCTATTGTAAGGGAATATTACACGTGTAGAGTGTTGATTAGTTTAACAGTGCACTGATGAAAAGGA